TCTGTAGCAATAGGTGAGGATCGATGGCGATGGCAGCCGACGGTCGCGACGTCGTTTGAGCAAGAGCTGTGGCCGCCCAACTTGGCAGGAGGGCGCGCGCGAGCGTCCAAAGTCCGAGCACGGCGAAGACGGAGCTGACGTGGCTTCCAAAAGGGGTCGTTCGCATGCCTTCTGAGACCCTTTTCGCAAGCAAAGGGCCAGTTTCTGGCCAGTCACTTCCCTAAATGGTCATTTTGTCCAGAATGTTAGTAGATCTCATGTACGCGTCTACAAAGTCTAAAGATTGACTGCTTCAAGCTTCCTCATGGACGCTGGAGTGGCTCCTTTGATGGCTTCTTGGCGACGTAACAGGAGAAGAGTGATTTGTGCTCCAGACCAATGTACATCAACCATCTTCGGATTTTACCCGGCATCCTCGGACACTTCTCCTCGCCGTTTGACTTGCAACGAACGACCCTTCGCTGGATCGAGCAGTTACGATGCCATCGCTCCTCGACCTCTCGGGCAAGGCCATTGACAGAAGTGCAAATCAAGTTTTGTGCCACCGTTTCGTCTCTGTGACAGAGTCGGGCGTTCTTCCGCTGGTCCAGACGTGTCGACGCTGCCGCGTGTCGTCCTGCGCACCTTGGGGACATTGTCGAGCCTGGTTTGCACGACCAGCACCTCGAGTTATCCAACTATTGATCCTCAAAGGTATTGTAGTCAATTCAGTCAATTTCGCTGTTGGTCCTCAGTATTGACGGCAACGAATCTTGCCTCCCTTGCGCTTCCGACCTGTCTTACGGGCACTCGGTTCCTACTGGGTGACCCCTTCGGCAACAGAGCTCTCGTGCTTCGGATTTGCTCGTAGTGACTCGGAAAGTAGATTACATTGAACTTGCTGGAAGGACAAAGTTGGATCATCATCATTACCGGAAGAAGCACGAGAGATTGCGAGCTGTCGGAGCCCGAGCCGATGGACGACGTGCACGTATTTTTAGGAGGCATCGGAAGGGAGGGACCCGTCATTTTGGTAACAGAACGCAGGTGTATAGAGGTATATTTACTAGTGAGAATGATAGCCCTTCAAATGGTAGAAAGGTACGATCTACACCATCCGACAAGTTCTGCACCGCCTCGTTTCAGGTCGACGTGTCGTGTCGACTTACGCACCTCAATAGCGCTGCAGTACAATTGACACGCTTATACTGCGAGAGGAGCGTTGATAACTTCTACACATGTCAAGAGTGAGGGGAAATGATCGTCATTTGTGGACGGGGTCGGACCTCCTTTCCCTGCGCTCACGTGAGGCCTCTGCTTGCCTCGGATTGACGTCCTTCGCTCGCGAACCCCTTCAAGTCTTCGTCGCCCACCTCTTTTCCTCCTTCCATCACCATCCTCGCCCTCAAAACTCTCATCACTTTCTTCCATAAAAAAACTCGCACGATGCTCAGCCCACGCCCACTCGTCGCGCTCGTCTCGGTCCCCGTCGCGCTGCTCTCGCTTGTCCCATCCGCGTCGGCTCAATTCAACTCGAGCGCGCCGACGTGTGTGAGCAACTGCTTCTCCGTCAAGCTCCAGGAGGTTCAAAATGGCACGCTGGCCATTGGAGTTGCGTCTTCGTGAGTCGTATATCTGCTGAAGGAGATGTTCTGAGAGAGGGGGAAGGTGCTGATCCATCCGCTCGACGCGTCGCGGCTCCTGTTGTACTTCCATTCACCACGCAGGAACATCTCGTAAATCATCCATTATTCAGTGCAGTTGAAGCCGCAGAGCTGATAAGCCTTTCTTTGATTCGCAGCGGTCTCTGCCAGACGCCTCAGTTCATCACGGCGTATGAGACGTGCTTGACCGACAACTGCGTCAGTCCCCTTTCTCAGAATTCAGCTATGTACAGGAGTGCTCATGAACATCTTTAATCATGTAGAACTCCACCGAGGTCTCTACTGGTGAAGCTCTCGCTGCTCAAGTCTGCACGCAAGCCGAAGGTCCGCGCGGTCATCCCTTCCACCACCCTTCACCGAGCCCCCGCTGACACGCTCACTTCCGCCCGTATTTTTCACTGTTACGAATCAAAGGCCAAGCAGTGAACGCGACGGCGACCATCACTTCGGCGCTCTCGTCCGTCTCTGCGGCTGGCGCTTCCGCCGCGAGCTCTGCGTCGTCGGTCGCGTCGAGTGCGACGAGCGTCATTCTCAGCGCTCAAAGCGTCGCCTCCTCTGCGTGAGCCCATCATATCTCTCTGATCAGCTTTGAGAAAAGCTGATGTTGGGGAGAGAACACAGTGCCGCCTCCGAAGCCGCTTTCGCTGCGACCGCGACCGACACGTCAGCCATCTCGTCTGCTTCCTCCGTCCTCGCCCAGACGCTCTCGTCCCTCTCAAGGGTCGAGGCCAGTGCCGTGTCGGCCGCTAGCTCTGCGTGAGTTTCCTTTTCCCTCTTTCTTCTTCCCATGGTCTGTCTGGTGAGGAGCGGTCGCTAACTTCTCGTGCATCCCGGTTCCTCCCTTTCTCCCTCCACCTCTACGACGCGCTACGAAAACAGCGCCAACGCAGCCATCACGACCGCCGTCTCGCTTAGCTCCTCCCTCGCTTCGTCGGTCTCAAGCGACCTCTCGGCGACTCAGGCGTCTCTCACCTCTGGCTTGTCAACTGGTACGTCGTCGACCAAGACGGCGACTGGAACGACCTCGGCCGCCTCCTCTACCACTTCGGTGCGTCCCCCGTTTCTCTTCTCTTTTGATGAAATGAAATGAATAGGGGAGCTGCTGAATGTTCTTCGGCTGGACGAGCAGACGGGCGCAGGAGTGAACCTCGTGCCTCAGGCTCTGACCGGCGCTCTGGCGGCCATGGTGGCCGTCGCTTTCGCGTAAGCTGATCCGCCGACAGAAACGGAGGAAAGGCCATGTATATATAGTCTATTGCTACGTTTCACGATGTTTGCATTTTCCGTTCGATGACGAATAATGCCTGGAGCTTTGGAGGAGCGAGGGGACGTTTGGATGAAACACGACACGAGTTTAACGCTTTCTTCGTAGCGAGGAACGGAGATAGGAGGCTACAAATACTTCAGTCGAGGTAAAATGAGAGCAGCAGCTCCCTGGAACAGTGCCAATGGAGGACTTCACTGGCCAGCTCACAAGAGACACGTGCCCGCCCTCACTCCACGTAGCCGACGGAGGGACAGCACAAAGTCACATGAAGGAAGGGCCTAATGCAGGTCGTATATATATCACTTGAAGGTACAACATACAATCTCCCAACCTCGTCGCCCCTGAGCCCACCACCCACCAACCAATGTCACCGCTCCTCACTCGACAGGCTCGAGATACTAATCTCATCCCCCTTTGTGTTCAACGTCTTCCACCCTTTGGCATCACACACCTGCTTCGCAAACGCCCTGAGCTTATCATCGATCTCGCTCGACAGCCCAAAGCTCGCAAAGCTCCACTCTTCGACTTGCTCCGTCTCGGGGACCGGAGCGTCCTCGACGCGACTGAGGGCTTGGATCGTAAAGTGGCCGACTTTCATGAGGACAAACATGCGAGATTTTTTGACCTTGAGGGCGTCGCCTTGCAGCCAGAGGAAGACGCGAGGGGATTGAGTTACGTCTGGCTGTTGAGCGCGTTGCCAGAGAAGGGAAGGTGCGCGTGCGGCGGGTCAGCTCTCGGAGCTCTGGCGGAGGAGTCATGGGGGTGAAGGACGGACCCTTGATTCTGATGGAGCGAGTTGTAGCATCACTTCGTCGCCTTCTACCACGACGTGTACGTAGCAGAGTTCCCTGTAAGCATTTGAGACAGTCAGCGACGCGATCAAGACTGAGCGTGTGGTGTGGCGTGCAGACGCACCATGACTTGTAGAAGGTCCGCATGCCCGGTATCGGCCGTGAAGATTTGGCCTGTAAGACATGGAACCGACATCAGCTTTCCTGCACCTTTACGGACCCAAAACACCCGCCAGACACGCGTCCGCCGCCGTCTTCACCCATCTCCGAACCCAAATCGCGAGCCCGCAAACACTCACCTGAACAAAATAAGTCGTGACCTGCCTTCCCCCAGCAAAAAAGTTCTCGCGGTCGTTGATGTCAAACATTGATTCTGTGCCGTCAAACTCGAACGTCGAGCCCGAGTGCCGCCGGTCCAGGTCGCCGCCATCATACAGGCTGTCCTGTTGTTCGCCCGAACCCCGCACCACACGGTCAGCTCTGTGCGTTGTGGTAGCAGTTCACAGACAAGACGCACCTCGTCAAACTGGACTTGCTTCTGCCTGTAGCTCATCACGAGGTCGTATGTGTCGTCCAAGTCGTCGGAAGGGACGTGGTTGAAGGCAGAGAGCGCTGAAGCCCAAGGAAGAAAAGTTCAATGTTTGATCTCAGAGCCACGAGGTGTCGACTTGTGAGCCATGATCGTAACATCTGCGTGGCCAGAGTGGCGGGAAGGCCTCGATCCTTCGCCTACCGCGTTTGCGCGGGTGCCTGCACGTGCGCTCCAGAAACTGGCCGTCCAACGCGTCCTCGGCGAAGGGCAGGCTGGACGACGCGCTCGATCAGGCAGGCATTTCGTACCTCGAGAAATTCGTCCCCGGGGGCCTTCATCGAGCACATTCCTTGCAACAAGGGCTATTTGTGTCCTGCAGGCCTTTCTCGACCGTTTGCTATACCGTGAGCGTCGGCACGTTCGTTTGCAGGGAAGTGAGATCTAAGTGGTAAAGGAAAGCAAAGTGTGGGAGAGTGTGAACATCTGCATTGTTTCTGCTCTGGGCTGCTTTGGGGTGATTGAGGACCAACCGAGGTCCAGTTGTGACCCCGGAACGAAGAGGGGGAGGGAGGCAACGTGGCCAACGGATCGGTTGTCTGCGGGTTCTCTGTGGAGTAGAGCGATGCAAACACGGCCAGAATCAGTCGGTGTATCACATAGGCGGCACAGTTCTTCAGGTCTTGGACCGTCTGAGCCATAACTACTTGTTGACGGCGGCGGTCGGATTGTCGGGGCCGCGCAAAAAAAAAAAAATGGCAAATTGTTTTGGCCCCAGCAGGGGTTTGAACCCTGGGCTTTTGCATGTCTAAATTAAGTACAAGTGCAACGCTCTACCACTGAGCTACAAGGGCGTTTTAGTTTCACAGCTTTTTCTTTTGGCTCTCACACGCTGACAAGCCCTCGAATCGAGATTCGACAAAAAAAAAAAAAAAAAAAAAAAAAAAAAAAAAAAAAAAAAAAAAAAATTCTGTAATCGTCATGTCCTCAGCGCCGCAAACGGTATCATACGCAGATGTCGCTCGCAAGGCCGTCAGGAAACCTCCTGATAGGCCCACGAGCACCCCTACCACCACCCCTCAGTCCCCTCCACCGCCTCCCCCCTTGGCAGTAGCCAGGGAGGGATGCCTCCGCCTGGACTGCCCCGGCAGCCCGACCCTCCTCCAAGTGGCACAAGCGCTTGAAGGACAATTTCCTACTCTCCAAGGCTGGCCTACTACTGAAGAAGGTCACATTATCATCCAGTTCCCTCCAGGAACCGATACCAGCCCCATCACGGCCGCCGGCCTCCAACTTCTCAACTCCACTGCCAAGCTCTCTCCCCTCGCGAACTCCGCTAATTCTGCCCTTGTCCACCTCAGAATCTCTTCTTTGTTCCATGGAGGAGATGGTCTCGAAGTCCTGAAGCAGGAAATGGCGAAATACGGCGATATTATCACTGTTGAGTCACCCTTCTACTCCAACACCTCCATCCCCACTGGCATCGTCAACATGCTCCTAGACCTCGGAGACAGGACAGTGTACCCTCCAGCAACCATCAAACTCGATAGGGGGGCGTGGACCGAGCACCTCTCCGCCCAGGTCATAGGGAAGAGGGCGTTCTGCCACTACTGCAGGTCCACTGAACACAGGAGGCCGGCCTGCACACAGGCACCTGCCTGCAAGAAGTGCCACCAGCACTCCCACTCTACCCAGTACTGTCCCTCTCGCTCCACTTCCTCTCCTCTACCCCCTTCTCCCTCCCCTTCCCCTTCCTCCACCAACACCCCTTCCCAGGGAGCACAGCCTCCTCTCCCCTCCATCCCTTCCTCGCCCTCAGGACGCAAGAGGTCGAGAAATGACCCGGGAACTGCTAACAGCTCCAGTTTCAACTTTTCTCCCGTCATCCCAGACACCCTCCGACCAGCAGTGCGCCTGATCTCCACCCAGGAGGAGAGTGAGGAGACTGGGGAGGGAGCCAGCACAGCCTCAGGAGACCACACCGCCAAATCTCCCCTTACAGCCGGAGGAATGGAGCTAGACTCTCATGAATAAGTTTCCTAACCTTTCCATAGTTGCCACTAATGTGCAACACATCATGGACGCCCGTAAGCGCCTACAAACCCTCACTAGATTCACTCACTCTTCTGCAGACATCTTCCTCCTCTCAGAGACTGGATGCCCCTCTCCTACCGAGGTCACCCAGTGGGAAGACGACTGCAACAGCCTAGGTCTGAAGTCCATCTTCTCTCCATCTAACCATACCGCTATTCTCTACAAAGCAGGCTCCCAAACAGTCTCCCTTTCAGCAGCTGGGAAACCCCCCAACTTCTTCTCCTCACTACTTCGAAATCCCTTACGCTCTACTGACGCAACTTTACTATAGGTTCCTCACACATTACCTTCTTCTCCCTCTACATACCGGTCCTGGAAGCGGAAAGGAAGCCTTTCCTCTCTGACCTTTCTGACACCCTCTCCCACCTCCCAGATGGCGCCTCCCTCATCCTAGGAGGGGACTGGAACTGTGTAGAGCACCCTCAGCTCGACTCTACTAACCCCCAGGGCACCAACGGAGGCCAGGCTCAGCTCAGGGACCTCCTCAATCGCCACTCTCTCTCAGACTCCTTCAGGGTGACTAACCCTATCTCTAGGATATTCTCTAACCATTCACCAACTGGAGCAGACAGACGATTAGACAGGTTCTACATCTCTCCAGACCTTGTTCCCCTGGTCAAGAGGAACTCTTTCCTTAAAGCTATTGGGTCAACTCACCAGCCCATCCTCCTTTCCCTCTTTCTTCCAGGAGCCATCGATACAGGGCCAGGAAAATTCAAGCTCAGTGTCGATCTCCTCTCTAAAGAAGGCATTTCCAGCTACCTCTCCAACCTGGTCAAGGATCTCTTCACTACAGCCTACACCAGCAACCCAGAGGACCCCTTGGCAGCCTGGACTACAACCAAGCATCTCCTCTCTCCTCGCATCCAGGCCCTTTCACTGAAGCACACTCTTTTTGAACGATACACTAGTCCAGATCTACAGCAGGAGAAGTCTCTCAGAGGGAAGGCCATCAGGGCCAGGATCCCCCCCTCTGAAGCAGGAGACTCCTCCCTCTCCCTCAGATTGAAGCAAGTACGCCAAGCTGACCTGATTCCGTCCCTCACAACACCTACAGGAACAGCCACTTCAACTCAAGACATGCTAGGCGAGGCCCACAGATTTTTCTCCTCCCTTTACTCTCCCCCTCCCCTAGAGGAGGGTCCCCTCCTTCACACCCTCTCCACTCACACCAGGACGCTCCCAACCGCCATCAAGGATAGCCTAGAGGAGGAATATACCCTAGAGGAGCTCTCCTCCTCTCTCTCCGCCTGCCAGAGGCGCTGCTCACCTGGCCCAGATGGGCTCCCCTTTGAGTTCTACACAGCCACGTGGGAAATCACAGGCCCCATCCTCCTCACTAGTCCTCAACTCCCTCCCTGACTACACTGATGACGAGCTACCTCCACAGGAGATACATATCCACCTTCCTCACAAGAAGGGGGACCCTTCTCTCCTCTCCAATAAGCGCCCTATTTCCCTCATCAACACTGACCAGCGGCTCCTTTCACAGGCCCACAACAGGCGCCTCTCTCCCATCCTACCACATCATTGGCGCCCAACAAACAGGTTTCATCCCAGAACGATGGATAGGGACTAATATAGAGGAGATTCACTCAGCCTATGACACTGAAGAAGCTAATCCTGGTCTCCTTGCCTCCATAGATCTGGAGAAGGCCTATGACAAGATCTCCCATTACTACCTCCGGAAATCGCTCCAGACCTTCGGATTTGGCCCTAGAGCTGAGTCCTGGTTCTCTCGTACATTCACTAACCAACATGCGAAGATCTACCTCAATGGATGGCTATCCAAGTCCCTCCCCCTCCTCTCTGGGGTCAGGCAGGGGGATCCCCTAGCTCCCTCCCTCTTTGCTATCGCTATAGAAGGCCTAGCCTCTCTCATACGAAAGGAAGTCACAGGGATTTCCTCCTCTTTCCTTCCCCTCCTCAGAGAACTCCTCTTTGCTGATGATGTCAACTGCTTCCTCAGGGACTACAGGGACCTGGAAGCCTTTCAATCCGCCATCACCACATTCTGCAGCGCCAGCAGCTCGAAGATCAACTACTCGAAGTCCCTACTAGTCCCCCTTGGGGAATTTCGCCGCCCTCCGCTCCTTAGGACGTCCTATGGCAATTGGCAAGTGCACCTCCAAGAGTTCAGGTGCCTGGGGGTTCAGATGGGGAGCTCAGTGGACCGCCTCAAGGAGTGGACAGACGCCTCAGCCAAAGTGATCAGAAGGATGAGATGTATTCCGATGTATGACCTTCCTCTCTCCACCAGATGCGCCATCATCAACAAGTACTGCTTCACCAAGATCCTCTACCTGGACAAGTTCTCCCCAGCCCCTGCTCACATCCTACAGGAACTCCAATCCGCCGCTCTGACTACCATCTGGGGGAAGAACAGAAAGAGCCTTGTCTCCCTAAAAAGGTTATGTACTCCCCTTAAAAAGGGAGGTTTTGGACTGGTTGACTTGACCCTACAACTACAGGGCCCCAGGGCTCAGTGGATTCTCGATCTCCTCCCCTCCTCGTCGTGGGAAACCCGCCATCTCCGGGCAATACGATCTATACCTATCAAGGACACTCTACTCCGGCAACGACTATATTCCGACAACCCGTTGTTGCGGAATGCGCCCAAGAGGGAGTGGACTTGGTGGGCCCTTTTCTGCCTCCCCTGCTCTCCCGCATTTCAGGACGACCACTGGCTCTCTACCCACACAGCCCTCAAGAACGACTTACCAGATCGATGGCAACAATATCTCCTTGCATGGGAAGCCTCAGTCACGCTCTCTCCTTCCCTCTCCTCATCCAGAATCGAGTGGTCCACCTCAGTCCTCAACCCCCAACTCTCCAACCGCCACACTCTCACTATTCCCTACAAATGGTTCCGTGAATCATGGAGTGGTAACCAGCTAAGTGTCACTTCCTTTGCCAAGTCCACCGCTTCCTTCACTGAAGCCTCCTTTTCCATAATTTATCCTCCCTGGCCTCCCTCTCCTTCCCTCCAGGCTCAACACTGGAAAGCGTACTGGATCTTCCTCAAAAAGCCACGCCACATCCTTCCAGACGAGACCAACACAGCCCACCTTCTATCCCTCCGATCCCTCCACCCAGGAACCCAGGTAGCGGCCAAACCCACCCCCACCCCCAGCACAGCCTCCAGCACAGCCTCCTTCCCCAACAACGGCACTCCTCACTGCAGGGTCTGCCTTACCACCAAAGCTGAGTCCATTATCCATATCTTCATAGAATGCGAAGTATCTATTGAAATTTGGAAACTAGCAACAGAAGGAACCCAGCCCCACCCCACCCTCCAACAACTCATCTGCCCACCCTGTAACGACTCGAGTACCCCGTCCTATGAGACTTGTTGACTGAGGATAAGGAAGGGTTGGAGTTGAAATCCGAATAAGGCGGAAGGGTAGGTAGGACCTCGGGTAAGGCGATGTGGTCTCCGAAGTCTCAAGGGTTGCAAACCTCTCGAAGTGAGAATGGAATGTCGAGTCTGCCCTTAGAATATCAAGATGAAGAAGCAAGAGAGAACTACACAAGAGTCCCTTATTTATACTCTTTCCTCTTCTCTATTTCCGAGCCATCCGAAGTCGTGAAATCCTCTTCCGAAGTCAAAGAAGCAATTTCCGAAGTGCTGTTCCGGAATTCGGGCTGAGCGGCATGGGTCCATACCTCGGAGATTCGTCCAGACTTTTCCTGAGCGCGGATTTCGTCTCGCTGTCGCTGGTTGCTTCGGATCCGACTGACTGGGAGCGGAAGTGGGGAA